TGCCGAGACTCCAGTGCACATCTCTGAATTGAGAGAGGGCTTAGGTGAATATTAGGGGAGGCTGGGGACGCTGCTGCACAGAGAAGGTTTTTTACCTTCATGCATAGAATGAGCCTTTGCAACCACTTTAAAATAAGTCCATCAAATTTTAAAATATTTTTTTTCTTGCAATCAAAAAAATGCTCAAAAAATAATTCTTTAGGCCTAGTTCACACCTATGTGTTTTTTTAGCACTTTTTGCGTTTTGCATAAAAACACGACAGTCCATTTAACATGGTTTCCTATTGGACACATTCACATCTATGCATTTTCAACCACTACATTTTTGGAATGGGTCAGGGAATGTTTTTCCCACAGCAGATTGCAACACGCATATGTGGGAACCAGGCCTAAACGATGGTCTTCAGGATTTCTTTTTCCCACACTGGATGTCACCTTCTTTATATATGTTAATTTGGGGCAAATTCTGGGAAGCCAAGTCACCACGTCTTCAAAGATTCACTTAGCCAATTTTACCAGGAGAAAAGCAGCCATGTGGATTGCCAATTGGACAGTTTTAAAAATACATTTGTAGGGGCTTTTTTACTTATTTAATTTTTTTTTATTATTACTTGTATCACTGTGAAATTGTAATGGGTCTGATGGAGCTTATGATATGTAAGTTTAACAAAATACTTGCTTGCTGAGCATTATTTTCATGATTGCCTTTTATACAACAATATTAAAAACAAAAAAAAAAATGGCACCCTTCTCCCCAGAACTACCTGCCTGCCAAGCTGGTATTCCCCATAGCAAGGAAATGGCAAACATGCATCTCTCGAAAAAAAATGAGGGTCACCCTCCCAAAGCATTGGATGCTGTGAGGCATCAGGTTCTTTGGCAATAGTGATGGGCCTGTTGTATCGACCGCAAACTTAGAACTTAATGCAAGTCTATGAGACTCAAACTTGTAAATGCAAAATGCCCAGTTTGGTAGCTTATATGCAAGTTATTAGCCATAACAGGGGTATGGAGACTCAGGTACTGCCGTGAGGGACATGAATCAGTGAAAAAACAAACTTAAAAAGTACCATTTTTAAAGGTGCAGTTATTTTTTTCATTGCTTAAAGTAAAAAAAATCATTTAAATATCATGCCTGGGGGTCCCCTTAAACTACCTGCAAAGTTGCACATCTGTACAATGTATAGAACTTGCTGCAGTAGGACTGACTTTTTTTTTTTTTAAATTACATTTTTATTTTTTTTAAAATAAATAAATAACAGTGTGGGGGTCCCCCCCCCCCATCCATACCAGGCCCTTTAGGTCTGGTAGGAAGGTTAGGAGGGACCCAACAGTAAAACAAAAATGTTTTAAAGTGCGTGGAGCTCCCCCTAAATATCCCTACCAGGCCCTGTAGGTCTGGTAGAACTCTTAAGGGGAACCACATCCCCAAAAAATGGGGAGCAAAAAGCGCCCCAAAAAAGCCCCCCCCGAACCGTACCAGGCCACATGTCCTCAACATGGGGGGAGTGAATTGATGGGGACAAGGGCCTCTTTCCCACAACCCTGGGGGGTGTGTGGGGGGTGACTAATTGGAATTTGGAAGCCCCCTTTAACAAGGGGAGCCCCTATATTCCAGCCCCCCCTCCCGCTTGTGAATGAGCATGGAGTACATAGTACCCATAACCAGTGGCGGACTGACAACTCATGGGCCCCCGGGCAATAGGGGATCATGGGGCCACTGTGTCTTTGCCCACACTCAAAACACACCCAAAAAAGCCTATAAAAGGTACCAGGGGCATTTCAAGGGCCCCCCTACTGACCCAGGGCCCCCGGGCAGTGCCCAAGTGCTTGAATGGTCAGTCCGCCCCTGCCCATAACCATTCACTAAAAAAGTGTAAAATGGGAAATAAAAACACAACAGTTTTTGACAAGTCCTTTATTTAAAGAAAAAGCCCAAAAAATAGTTCCATTGTTGCAATCCATCGCCAGTCACCGCGTCCAGCGTTGTCACAATGACACTGACTCACAGAGATGAAAAGAAAAACAACACCCGCTTACCTCGTTCACACCCGCCGAGCACTCACCACTATCTGACATTTTCCGGTCAGATGTAAACAATTGGGTGGTGCTAGCGGTGATGTCACTGCTAGCTCCGCCTAATTGTGTTGTGATTGGTCAAAGCATTGCACCTGATCTGTGGTCAGGGGCATTGCTTTGGCCAATCACAATGCACTGTCAGAGCATAGTGCATAGTGGGACACTTACTGTTCATGTGTTTGCCGAACACACGAATGGCCAATGTTTGAGTCAAACTCATGTTCGACTCGAACATCAGGGGCATCACTATTTGGCACCCCTGGTGTTGGCGAGGAAGGCTTATGTGGTTGTACCCTTCCTGATGGACTGATTTTGGAGATTTCACTTTCTTTATTGCCTCCAATATATTTGGCAAAATTTCCCAGAAATCTCTTGCTTTTCGCAATATTTACTGCAAGAAGTTTGTCTTCATTGCAGAACTGAACCTTCTTCTGTTAGATCAGAGACAGGGAATTCCAATACACTGACTGTCAGGTGAAGCGGGAGTGGAAGGTATGTCCGCAATAGTCATGTGAATAGTCCCAGGGTTTTAACAAGAGAAAAACAGTCATCCAATCACAAGAAAGAATGGATGACTGTCAGTGCACTGACTGCCAAAGTATTGCTCCTAATGTGGGAAAGTGACATTAGAATTTTTGGGTAGGTGGAAAAGTAGTTTTAAAGAGACTTCATCACTTAATTCATTAAGGATGAAATGACTCCTCCTACTCACTTAATCTCACCATTGCCATGTTCGATCACCACAGGTGTCAGGTTTGATGTCACCCTTCTCATGGCAGTGTTCTGTCCTGGCAATTGGCAACTCAGGCCCAGTACTGCACCATGGGAGGAGGTCACATTGTCACTCATATGGGCTTTAACTTAGAGTAAACTCAGTGTAAAGTATCTCCTGATAGCCCATCCTTCAGCAGGGTATAGTCATCTACCTAATCTCCCTTGCCATCTTCACACTGCAGGAGTCCACCTTGAATCACATGGTGTTAGAGCTTACCCAAGTAGATGACGACTCAGCCGGCTGCCTATAGTGCCATCAGCAGATGCTAGTCTTCTTTAACACAGGCTTTTTCCCCCAACATGCGTTGGCTGTATCTGATGTTCTTAACCATTAAATGTCTCCAAAAGTTCTTTAAGTGAGATGAACTTTTGTAGCAGACACTTCTACGTACACATCCAAGAATTTATTACCTGAAGGACACTCCCCTTTTTGCTTTTAGCGAGGTAGCACCTTAGAAACAACATCCACCCATGTTATACTTCAGTATAGCTTTTTTGAAGGAACATTCACCTTACTTTAAATATGGTAGAACCAAAGTTTCGTTCTATTAGTCCAGTACTATCTCACACATATCAGAATAATAGAAGATGTAATTTTCCATTCCCAAGTGACAATCTTCAGGCCTGGAAATTAGCTGCTACATGGGGGAGGTCACATGCATTTCCATACCCAGAAGTTTGGTTCCAGTACATCAATGGCATGAGGGCTCCAGCAATGCAGGGAGGCAGCTAGAGAACCTGCATGGCTGAGTATCCCCAGAGTCTGTTTAAGGTGAATCTCCATCCCCTCCTCTCATTTTTTTTTTTTTTTTAGACAAATCTAATCATTGTTGCGTGTTGTAATCTTTTCAGATTCCCACCCATCCAGTGGATCCAGCAGTGTTCTGTTGCCACTCGGTCCCAGGCCACCATATGTGACGTCTTCAAAAGGTCAGCTTGTTCTTGGCCAAACGATGATATGGCATTAGGCCTGCCCTCCTCCTCCTTTCTCAATGAAGGACTATGCCTCCTGGGATATGTGACGTGTATATCCCAGGAGTCACAGCGGACATAACGAATGTCATTCGCCTAGGTGAGTGACATGCATGGGGGGCCAGCCCTAAGTTTTTTCCTGAAAAGAAAAATAGAGAAAAAAGTGCACTCTGCATGAAGAGGAGGGGAGGAGGGATGGAGAGGAATATTATATTTAAGGGTGAAACATAGCCTAAAGTGGTTGTAAAGGCTGAAGGTTTTATATCTTTTTGTATTCTGTGCATGTAGGTAAAAAAACTTTCCCCCTCAGCCCCCCTAATACTTACCTGAGCCCCATCACGATCCAACACTGTCCACAAGAGCAGCGTCTCTACCGGGTCTCACCCTCCTCATTGGCTGGGACACGGCAGCAGGAGCCATTGGTTGTCAATCACAGCCAGTAAGGAGGGAATAGTGGGCGGGGCCGAGCCGCACTCTGTGTCTTATGAACACACAGGGCCAGCTCAGGAGCGAGCGCACACGAGTGCCCCCAGAGCAGGCAGCTTGCTCGGGGGGGGGGGCACTCAGCAGGGGGGAGAAGCCAGGAGTACCAGCAGGGGACCCAAGAAGAGCAGGATCAGGGCTGCTCTGTGCAAAACCATTACACAGAGCAGGTAAGTAAAACATGTTTGTTATTTAAAAAAAAAAAATCTTAACCTTTAATATCACTTTAAATAGTTTAGATGACATAAGGCTTTCTATCTATTATTGTACTACAGTCAGGTTGCATGTACAGTAACAAAAACGGGTCTCTTTTCCTTTATTTAACTGTTGTGCTGCATCAAGGGGTAAAACACCCTGTCCTTTCAACATATAGACTAGTCAGACCGCGGCTGTATAGAACACACAAAAAAGCAGTTCAACACCCCCTCTTCCCCTTCCAAACACTGCTTTAGTTAACTGAGCAGAGCTGTTGATTGGAGCAATATCTGTGCGGGTCGTGTGAGACAGCTGGAGAGTTGGGCCACTGCTTTGTATGAGAGAGCCGCTGTCCGACTGTCCTATGTACTGCCAGCACAGGGCATTTAAAGAGCTACTAAACCCCGGACCCTACATTCACTACATCTGCTCTCCCCTGACCCTGCATTCACTATATCTGGTCTCCCCGGACCCTGCATTCACTATATCTGGTCTCCCCTGACCCTGCATTCACTATATCCGGTCTCCCCGGACCCTGCATTCACTATATCCGGTCTCCCTGGACCCTGCATTCACTATATCCGGTCTCCCCGGACCCTGCATTCACTATATCTGGTCTCCCCGGACCCTGCATTCACTATATCTGGTCTCCCCGGACCCTGCATTCACTATATCTGGTCTCCCCGGACCCCGCATTCACTATATCTGGTCTCCATGGACCCTGCATTCAATATATCTGCTCTTCCAGGATCCTGCATTCACTATATCTGGTCTCCCCGGACCCTGCATTCACTATATCCGGTCTCCCCGGACCCTGCATTCACTATACCTGGTTTCCCCGGACCCCGCAATCACTATATCTGGTCTCCCCGGACCCCGCATTCACTATATCCGCTCTCCCCGGACCCTGCATTCATTATATCCGTTCTCTCCGGACCCTGCATTCACTATATCTGCTCTCTCCGGACCCTGCATTCACTATATCTGCTCTCCCCGGACCCTGCATTCACTATATCTGGTCTCCACGGACCCTGCATTCACTATATCTGGTCTCCCAGGACCCTGGATTCACTATATCTGGTCTCCCCAGACCCTGCATTCACTATGTCTGGTCTCCCCGGACCCTGCATTCACTATATCTGGTCTCCCCGGACCCTGCATTCACTATATCTGGTCTTCCAGGACCCCGCATTCACTATATCTGGTCTCCACGGACCCTGCATTCACTATATCTGCTCTTCCAGGATCCTGCATTCACTATATCTGGTCTCCCCGGACCCTGCATTCACTATATCTGGTCTCCCAGGACCCTGGATTCACTATATCTGGTCTCCCCGGACCCTGCATTCACTATATCTGGTCTCCCCGGACCCTGCATTCACTATATCCGGTCTCCCCGGACCCTGCATTCACTATATCCGGTCTCCCCGGACCCTGCATTCACTATATCCGGTCTCCCCAGACCCTGCATTCACTATATCTGGTCTCCCCGGACCCTGCATTCACTATATCCACTCTCCCAGGACCCTGCATTCACTATATCCGGTCTCCCCAGACCCTGCATTCACTATATCCTGGTCTCCCCGGACCCTGCATTCACTATATCCACTCTCCCAGGACCCTGCATTCACTATATCTGGTCTCCCCAGACCCTGCATTCACTATATCTGGTCTCCCCGGACCCTGCATTCACTATATCCACTCTCCCAGGACCCTGCATTCACTATATCCACTCTCCCTGGACCCAGAATTCACTATATCTGGCCTCCCCGGACCCTGCATTCACTATATCTGGTCTCCCCGGACCCTGCATTCACTATATCCGGTCTCCCCGGACCCTGCATTCACTATATCCGGTCTCCCCGGACCCTGCATTCACTATATCCGGTCTCCCCGGACCCTGCATTCACTATATCCGGTCTCCCCGGACCCTGCATTCACTACATCTGGCCTCCCCGGACCCTGCATTCACTGTATCTGGTCTCCCAGGACCCTGCATTCACTGTATCCGCTCTCCCCGGACCCTGCATTCACTATATCCGCTCTCCCCGGACCCTGCATTCACTATATCTGGTCTCCCCAGACCCTGCATTCACTATATCTGGTCTCCCCAGACCCTGCATTCACTATATCCACTCTCCCCGGACCCTGCATTCACTATATCCACTCTCCCTGGACCCAGAATTCACTATATCTGGCCTCCCCGGACCCTGCATTCACTGTATCTGGTCTCCCAGGACCCTGCATTCACTATATCCGGTCTCCCCGGACCCTGCATTCACTATATCTGGTCTCCCCGGACCCTGCATTCACTATATCCGCTCTCCCCGGACCCTGCATTCACTATATCCGCTCTCCCCGGACCCTGCATTCACTATATCCGCTCTCCCCGGACCATGCATTCACTATATCCACTCTCTCCGGACCCTGCATTCACTATATCCGCTCTCCCCGGACCCTGCATTCACTATCCGGTCTCCCACAGTACACAGAACATGGAAATGCAATTATTTTAGTAAATGTAAACTGCTAAATACCTTTTCTGATCAGCAGTTAGCAGTCTTGTGACTTCTATCAGTGTCCAGCAGAGACGGGTTAAAGGAGGAGTTTCCACTCTCCTCTGACTGTCCTGTGAGGCTGCGTGACCCCTGACCCTCTGGACAGTGCTGATTGGCCCTGTTCCCGTTCACATGCACTCTCCCAAAGAAAAAAAAAAAAACTCTCTAGCCCAGTCTTTCTCAACCTTTTCAACACAGAGGAACCCTTGAAATAACTTTTCAGGCTCGGGGAACCCCTGCTAAAAAGTATCTATAACTCATAATACATTAGTGTGATGGTCACTGGAGAGAATGCTCCTTACACTTGTGGTCACTGGGGAGAATGCTCCTTACACTTGTGGTCACTGGGGAGAATGCTCCTTACACTTGTGGTCACTGGGGAGAATGTTCCTTACGCTTGTGGTTACTGGGAAGAATCTCACCCTAACAGATAGCTAAAAAGATCAATGGTGTCAGTGGGAATGTATCTGAAATGCAGAAACTGCTCATTGCTCAAGGAAACCCTAGCAACCTCTGGAAGAACCATGGTTGAGAAACCCTGCTCTAGCCATACACACTAAACTGAGCACGTGCAGAGTGATTCCTAGAGCTCTGTACTATCAGCAGATGGATTGGGGACAGTAGAAGAAGGGGAGGATCAGAGAAGACAGGATCAAACAGCCTTTTTACACCATGCGGAGGATTAAACCCCTTAGGTTCCACAGTGAGTATAACACGCATGCTTTACTACATCTACAGACTGATTGTACTGATGTGGGTTTAGGAACACTTTAACCTCTAGGCGCCAGCCGCATGCAAATGTGCGGCCTCCCGACATCTGGGCATTGACGCAGAGCGGCCGCACATTTGCGTGCAACTACAAAAAACATATTTGCTGAGAGCGCTCCCAGCACACGGAAAGGTCCTGATCTCCTCTTGCAATCGGAACCTTTCCCAATCATGTGACCGCGATGACAGCGAATCACGGCAGTCACATGACCCTAAAACCCCGCCCCGCTTCCTGGCTTCTGAAACCCTTAAAGGGCCGGGAGGCGCCAAGGGTTTACCCTTGCTGCAACACAAAATAAAAGGGCCCATATTCATCACTGTATCTAAGAGCCGACATATTCATTTGGGCTTTGCCTTACAAAATGTATATCAATTCAGTATGAAATATCCTTTCACATTTGTAAATACTATGAAATATTATTGAAATATTTTTTAAATATTTAATTAAATAGTATTGACATTTGTAGCAAATGTGGAGTTTTTCTTTAGAGGAATCAGGATTTTTTTTTTTGCGTCTCTTCTGTACATTGGTAATTCTTGGTGCCTGCGACCCACGGCGGAGGGGCCCTTGAAGTTTAAACAAAGTGACATTTTTGTTTTGGACTTTGGTCAACCCCTAAGTATCTATTACCAGAAAATCTATTATTCATTGTATCTGTCCATTAAGGATTTCCTTCCTGCATGACTGTTTATGGCTGGTAATGGTGGAGGGATCTGAAGGGCCTTTAACAATTGATAAGACTTTTCATACTCACACATGACAGGACGTCCCAGAGGAGAGCGCAGCTATATGGAGGACTTTTCATAAACTAGTACAGGGATGGGCTGAAGGATACCTACCGGAAAGATGCAGCTCCTTGTTCACCCTTCAGTCAATGCACACTGATGTGTCCGACAAACACCTCTGATCATACTGCATCAACAAAGTCTCCATGTATGACCCGTCAAACATGTGCATTCAAGGATGATTAACCCCTTCAATACCGGGCACTTTCACCTCCTTCCTTGCCAATTTTCAGCTTTCAGCGCTCTCACACTTTGAATGACAATTGAGCAGTCATGCCACACTGTACCAAACACATTTTTTTTTATTATTTTGTTCACACAACTTGGTGATATTTAACCACTTCAATACCGGGCACTTTTACCCCCTTCCTGCCCAAGTCAATTTTCAGCTTTCAGCGTTCTCACACTTTGAATGACAATTGCGCGGTCATACCACGCTGTACCCAGACTAATTTTTTAATATTTTGTTCACACGACACAGTGGTATTTAAATACCACAAAGTTGTGTGAACAAAATAATAAAAAATGTGTTTGGGTACAGTGTGGCATGACTGCTCAATTGTCATTCAAAGTGTGAGAGCGCTGAAAGCTGAAAATTGGCAAGGAAGGAGGTGAAAGTGCCCGGTATTGAAGTGGTTAACCACTTCAATACTGAGCACTTTCACCCTCTTCCTGCCCGGGCCAATTTTCAGCTTTCAGCGCTCTCACACTTTGAATGACAATTACGCGGCCATGCAACACTACGTTTTTATTATTTTGTTCACACAGCTTGGTGGTATTTACTCACCGCTGTTTTTTTAAAATTTTTTGCTAAATTAACAAAAATAGACTGTAAATTTTGAAAACAAAACAGGTTTTTCCTCGTTTCTGTTATAAAATGTTGCAAATAAATAATGGATTTTCATAAATTTAGAACTAAATGTATTCTGCTACATTTCTTTGGTGAAAATAACCCAAATCAGTATTTATTATTTAGTCTGTAGGAAATTTATAGGGTTTACAAACTATGGGATATATCTGAAAATTGATCAATCCATGAAGTACTGATGGCCAATCTAATTTCTTGAGGCCCAAAAAGTACAGATATCCCCCAAATTTCAGGACGGTACAGATATCCCCCAAATGTCAGAACAGTACAGATATCCCCCAAATATCAGAACAGTACAGATATCCCCCAAATGTCAGGACAGTACAGATATCCCCCAAATGTCAGAACGGTACAGATATCCCCCAAATGTCAGGACGGTACAGATATCCCCCAAATGTCAGAACAGTACAGATATCCCCCAAATGTCAGAACAGTACAGATATCCCCCAAATGTCAGGACAGTACAGATATCCCCCAAATGTCAGAACGGTACAGATATCTCCCAAATGTCAGGACGGTACAGATATCCCCCAAATGTCAGAACAGTACAGATATCCCCCAAATGTCAGAACAGTACAGATATCCCCAAAATGTCAGGACAGTACAGATATCCCCCAAATGTCAGGACAGTACAGATATCCCCCAAATGTCAGAACAGTACAGATATCCCCCAAATATCAGAACAGTACAGATATCCCCCAAATGTCAGAACAGTACAGCTATCCCCCAAATGTCAGAACAGTACAGACATCCCCCAAATGTCAGGATGGTACAGACATCCCCCAAATGTCAGGACGGTACAGATATCCCCCAAATGTCAGAACGGTACAGATATCACCCAAATGTCAGAACGGTACAGATATCCCCCAAATGTCAGGACAGTACAGATATCCCCCAAATGTCAGAACAGTATAGATATCCCCCAAATGTCAGGACAGTACAGGTATCCCCCAAATGACCCCTTTTTGTAAAGTTTTTGAAGTTGTAATTTTTTTGGCATACTTTTTTGGAAAATGAAGAAATAAAAAAAAAAAACCCTTTTTTTTATTATTATTACTTATTTTTACACTGTCACTTGAATTTTTTTTTAGCACTTTTATTGCTGTCACAAGGAATGTAAACATTCCCTGTGACAGCAGTAGACATGTGACAGATATTCTTTAATGGAGGGATCTAGGTTCTATGAGCCCCCATATCCCTCCTCTGCACTTTTTGAATGCTTTCAGATTTTTAAAAATGGTGCTGAAAGTGTTCAAGTAAATAAGAAGTGGTGTCAGGTCATTGCTTCCGGTTTACAATAAAGGAGAGCCGATCAAAGCCGGTTCCGGCTTTGTTTGGCTGTCTGGCTAGCTGGTGGACGCACTGGCTGGTCGCTTGGGACTCCCGATGGCATAGGAGATCCTGAGACAGCACCAGGAGGCGGCAGGAGGGGGGGAAACATCCCCTCCAGCTCCTTGTGCAAGCAATTGAGTGGCTAGTTAG